GCTGTTCTGTTTATTTAGCTAAATAAAATAGTGCATGCTCTGAATGAGAGCATCAGGTGAATAAGTGAATTCCAGGAAGAGAAAAGGACAGAGTTAGCAGAAGAGCAAATAACTTATCTGTGTGTAAAATTAGTGTGGAAATTGAAAGAAAGCACTTTGTTCAAGCTTATAAGCATATTGGGACCGAAGGACACAGACTGTTTGGTGGTGGATGCCTGTTACAGGCTAAATTAGGAAAGGATGACTTCAAACAGCACGAGGGGCAGAGAGTGTTGTGCCTGAAGTGAGACTGAATTTGCAAAAGCTTGGATGGTGCTTAACTGTGAGGTTATCATTGCCAGAAAGTGGGGGCAAAGCTCTTGCAGAGGAGAGGGTCAGGGAGACGTGATATATGTTGCACTGTCCTCTTAAAGTGTCACTTTGTACCACTTAGCTTGTAGAAGTTAATGAACTGAAAAGGATTACTTGCATATTTACCCCTCCACTCCAAAGACCTAACAGTTTTCACTTACGTTTATGCAGTTCTTAGGGCAGTGGGTCTTGATCACCCCAGCTTCTAGGCAGCACTTGACGTTAAAAATAATGAGGGGGTTCTTTCTCTTCAAAATCGTGTAGCTTACTAGAAATTAAACTTGACTAATCTAAATTCCCTAAATATAGCAGGGAATTGTTGTAGCACAGGCAGAATGTAATAGGTGTTAGTTATGACTGCTTTAAATATTAATTTTTGGCCTATCCAATATAAGATGAAATATATTTCAAGGCAGGTTTAAATGGAAGTGAATGGTGTGTGGTTATGAGGTCGTTGATGCAAAGCTTTTAGCACTTCAGAATAAGGATTGCTAGACGTCAGGAAGATGAAATAAATGGAAATTTCTTTTCAGGGTGGAAACAAGCAAATGTCTTGGAAATGTTTCTTATTAGTAGAAGAAACTTTAAAATTCTTAAGGTTATCGTAAGAACCTGTGCCATTGTAACAGAATGGGCTAATGTGGAAAGTGCATAGGTTTTTTTACCTCACTGTAGAAAGGCAAGAGCTTTATTAAGAATGTCTTAACTACTTGCTCTAATGGTTGATAGGGCTAAGGAGAACTTGGTTCTAACACCCAGTTTAGCTGAGTAGTGTTCATGTTGTTTTGCCCTCTTCCTGTGGTGGAGGTGAGTGAAGATAGGATGTGTCGCAAAGCACTTGACACATTGCAGTGTTAGAGTACACAGTGGCTGTGGACTGTATTGGAATGGATGTCAAAATTCAAAAGCGGTGATGTGACATGCTTAGCCTGCCTCACTTTATACCTAGGTCTCAAAACTGTTTATGTGCAAAATGGATTGAAGATGGTACAGCGTGAGCTGTGTGGTAACTTTATTGAAAGATAATTCAGATGTTTCTTAAAACAAAGCCAAAGCTGAGTAAATACGGATTTTTCTTGAGGGAAAACAAGACAAACCTTCGCCTTCAGGAATTTTGACAACTGAAGAAGACTTTAACAGCTTAAAATGATAGATTTCTGGAGGGGGTGCTTGATTTAGGCACTATGGGAGAAATTTTGTGCTCTTAGTACCAGAGAGCAAGAACTGGAGCCACAGAGAAATCATGTTGGAAATTTCTTTTGATAAGAAATGTGGAGAGGAGGAAGAGAAGGAAGTAGCAGGTATGTAGGTGGAGGAGACTAGTACTGGCTGAGCAGCCGGGTTTAGGGTTGGGAGACCCATGGGAATATTGCAAAGGGAGAACTGCGAATTCTGAGCGAGGATATTGTAGCAGGGAGCTTGCTTGTCTTTGCAGGGAAGCAGCGAGAAGGCTTAGCAATTCATGTGTGCCAGGGGAGAAGGGGGATGCAACTGTGAGCGGGTGGGGAGAGAGAAGGTGAAGGCATCTGAATTGGGAGGAAGGACCAGAAGCATGAAAAATTAGAAAGGAATTAGGAGATAAAGCTGTAACGAAGGAGACTAAAGGGAATCAGAAGTGTTGAAATTCAGAGAGAAAATTAGCAAAGAGATCTGCGCTCTGTGGTGGTCTTCTGACCCATTTGTAATGAAGCCTGAGACACCTGAACACTTTCACTAAACACTTTCACAACACTGAACACTAAAGTGTATGTCTCATCCTCTGTAATTACTGTTTTTCGTCACAATATAACTTTAGTTGCTCATTTAGCTCGTGTCAGAAGTCTGTGCCATAGATGTGCAATTATGCTTCTGAGTTGTGCAGGTGTCATGTGATGTCACTTGAAAGCGTTTTACCATTCTGCTTATAAAAACACAACCCTGGGGAAACGGATATGGTGTGTATAGTAAGGCAGTGCTGAAGATGAACGTATTCACGTCAGGAAATGCTCATTATTTCAGAGGGTTAAGGTGGTATCTGCTGTTTTCATAGGGCCCTCTTGTGTACATACATGGATAATCTCTGATAGCATAGCGGAGCCCACCTCATTGATGGTGCCGGACAGAACTGCCCGACAGATGCACGGCACCATGGCTATGTGTGACAAGGAGTGCTTGGTCGCATGGTCCTTACCTGTTGCTGACATTTTCTGTTTCTAAGCTGGATCTAGGTCTATGCTATTTCAGAAAAAAAATTGGGTTTGATCAGTTTGAATATCCGAAGGAACAGTAGCCTGTTCGAAAGGAGGGGAGTATGAGTATGCAGCTGGGGAAGAAGGAAGGGACAGAGCTGCTACTTTTGATGGCCGCACAGACTTACAGGCCTGAGTGGACTTGCATTTATTGCGAGACCTCAGCTATTTGTTGTGAAAATTAAACAAGATGGGAGAGCGTTGGAGGGGAACGGATAGTCTCATACATAAGGCAGACGAGTGTTGCCTACATTGTTTTCTTCATATGGGACCTTGCTTCAGAAAAAAGGGTACACCTTTTCATGGGAGGCTGATAGTTAGCTGTTACCTTACCTTGCATCTGGATCCTGATGTAGAAACACTCAGCATTTAAATCACAATAAGCTACTAGGAGTTCTGCTCTAGCAGTAGGAAATGTGGGATAATATTCCATCCTCCAAAATAAGGTAGCCAAGTGGGTGTCATTTGCTTGAATCTTTGTTCTTCTTTTCCCAACTTTTAAATAGGAAGAATGCTTTTACGAGATAAGGGAAGACTATGGAATATGTTTTCATTTAAAGCACTCCATTACAACAGTGTGGTCCCCTGTTTAAAACAAAAACAAAACCAAAACAAAACTACAAAAAGGTAGATTTATCTTCTGAACAGGACTTGAGTGTTGTATAATAAACAAGGTTTAGACAAAGATCAGCACAGGAAAGACATGGACCTGTTAGAGCAGGTCCAGATGAGAGCCACCAAAATGCTCAGAGGGATGGAACCCCTCTCCTTTGAGTACAGGCTGAGAGAGTTGGGGGTGTGCAGCCTGGAGAAGAGAAGGCTCCAGGGAGATCTTCTTGCAGCCTTCCAGTACTTAAAGGGAGCTTCTAAGAAAGATGGGGACAAACTTTTTATCAGGGCCTGTAGCAATAGGACAAGGGGTAACGGTTTTAAACTAAAAGAGGGTGGATAGAAGGAAGAAATTTTTTATGATGAGAGTGGTGAAACCCTGGCACAGGTTGCCCAGAGAGGTGGTAGCTGCCCCATCCCTGGAAACCTTCAAGGTCAGGTTGGATGGGGCTCTGAGCAACCTGAGCAGGGACATCTTCAACTAGATCATTGCAGGGGGGTTGGACTAAATGACCTTTAAAGGTCCCTTCCAACCCAAACTATTCTGTGATTCTGTAAAAGAGAACTGAATACAATACTGTGTTCTTGGCTTATTAAGTGAAAACTCTTAAGTACTGCGTAAGACTGGGGCTATCCGCAAAAATGCGGTCACTATCATGCTTACACATTAATTCCTTTGTTTCAAGAGATTGTTTAAGAAATCAGAACTTAATTAAGTCAGAACTTAATTTTTAAGGAATTTGTTTCAGAACACAATGCTTGTCTTTTGCAGTCTAAATAATTTTCCTGTGGTAAAAAACCAAAAATTGTGTGCAGTTTATTTCTCCTTTTAAGAGTGAGATTTGGAAGATCATATGAAAAATTAGTTTGCTATAATTTCTTGAATAGACAAGATGTCAAGCAAACCAGCCTGACTTTTCTGTCCAGCAATTTTGTATATAAAATTCTAGACCTAAAGTGCCATACGACTTTGCAAGCTATTACATATTAGCATATTTAGGATTGCAATCTTATTGAGGGCTTTTTGTTTGTTTCTTTGTGTGGTTGGTTTTTTTAACTAGAATTGGTTCACAGTGTTCTTTGGCAGAAGTTGGTTAATCTGTTCTCCGCAATGCCATGGCATGAAGATACTTGTTTCGTTTGGGGAAAATTATACCATGTTTACGCTTCTGGATCTCCGCTGTCTGTGTAATTCCCTGTTGCTCCAGTTCTTCTGTGATACCTGTCTTGCGGGACATCTAGGCAGAAAGTGGGGTGGCTGAACGGCACCTGAGCATGTGGAGGCTGAGGGGCAGGTGGGAGCTCAGGCTGAAGTACGGGACCTTATGGCTAGAGCACAGCATTGGAGGGTGGGCAACTTTTTTTCCCCATCCTAGTGTATGCTGCCTTTGTTTTTGCCAGCTGATGTGGAAACAGAGTGGCTGCTTTGGTGGTGGCAGCAGGGGCCAGAGCAGCCCCATGTGGCTCTAAGCCATCTGGCAGGCCGTGGCTCTGGAGAACGGCATTGCTTCTAAAGACTGTGGTTAAGGGAGAGGTTGTCTGCTTAAAATTAAATTGCTGAACTGACCTCGAGGGCTTGAGCTCATGTAAATTTATTCTGAGATTTCACATGCCTAACGTATTTTGGAAAGAAAGCCTCTTAAAAAAAAAAATAAATACTTTTATCAGAATAAAGCTCTTATTGCCAAGGAACTTTGAACCAATGAATTATCAGCTATTTTTATTCGTGAGTTGGATTTTTATAAAACCAAATTATGTCAATTAATTGTATCTTAAAATGTGGAAGTGTTGTGCAGAGTTTCACTTTTAAAGTTTTCTTGTTTTCAGAAACAAGACACTGGACAGATTTTGTTGGATATGACCTATAACCAGTTGGGTGTGATGGAGAAGGAATATTTTGGTTTACAGCAAAATGAAACTTCAGTAGACTCACCTGTAAGTATAGTAAATAATAAATGTGTGTGCATGTATATGTGTGTACACATATACACACTTATATGCATACACATGTATATATACACACATATACATGCACACACACATAAATAAATGGTATTTATTTGTAAATATTTTTAATCCATCTAATAGTTTTTCGTTTCACAGCGATGGCTTGAACCAAACAAACCTATTAGAAAACAGTTAAAAGGTAAGACTTGTTTTTAATATCTTGATTGTAAGTGTGTAGTCTTGCTTTTCTGTGTTCTTATGACTAGAATAAATATGGTTCTTGTAAATTAGTGCATCCAGATGGTAGATTTTCTTTAACAGTAAGTCTTATCTCTGCCAGTCTCTTCAGCAGAGCTTTCTACATCTCTTACTGCTACCAGAGTGCTAATAAGGTAGGTTAGGTCACTAACTTTGAATCTCTAGTAACATCTAAACCTGGCTTCTGAGCAGGTTCATGGCTGTGAAAGCAGTATTCATATCATGGTGCCAGTAAAGTCTCCTGGTAGGGATGATAAAGAGGAGGGGTTTTGATCAAGGGAAGTGGAGCCAGTTTCATGCATAGGTTCTGGTGTTTTCTTGTCTCAAGTAGAATAAGGAAAAAAAAATTACGCTTGTTTTTATTAAAAAAACAACCAAACAAAAAACCAACACCACACACTTCCAAGTGCATGTGTTGTTCTAGTATGTCTCGTTTACAAACAGCTTTGAGTAACACAGAATGTGTAGGAAGAAGGACAGGCTGGCCAGCATGAGCTTTCCAGATAGCAGCTTAGGAAGACTGAGTGACATTGTCCTATTTTGTGCTGTGAAACTTGAGTTAAGTTTTCCCGCTCTTACTTCTACCATATGCTGTAGATTGTGTATGAATTGAAATAAAAATGCATGAAGTTTACATGGTGACCTTCTGTTAACTTCTTGTATTTATATGTAAGATAGAATTGAGCATTATCCCAATTGAGACACCTCAAATACATTTGCTGCTTTTTTCTCTTCTTATACCCGTGAGACAAAGATAACTAAATAATGCCTTTTATGTAAAGTAGCATATATGAAATACTTTAAATGAAAGCATCACAATATTTGAGAGTATTTTCTTCTCACAGTTGGTGTTGGGGGGGGATCAGGAGAGACTTCTAGCAGTTTCTTTTAGTTTCATGAGAAAAATGCATGAGATTTCTATGTGGTGGTTCATGTAATTTTTCTATAAATATAGAAATAAAAACCTTGGGTTCTTACTTTTTTAAACAAAAAAAAATGATTTGCTTTTCTAAAACATTGCAGGAGGTTTTCCCTGCACCCTTCGTTTTCGTGTAAGGTTTTTTATACCTGATCCTAACACACTTCAGCAAGAACAAACCAGGTAACTACTGTTTGATTTTTGCTTCCATGAACTAAGAATGTGTAAAGCCCTCCTTTCCTGCTTCCACAGCTTGGCAAACTATGCTTTATTAGGTAGATAACTTTTTATAACTGTCTGTATTAAATGTGTTTGGAATTGACAGCTTGATGCGATGCTCATAATGAATGGTTTCTGCTATATGCAGCCTACAACTCCAAAATATAGCCAGAGTATAAGCTAGTGCAAAGATGGAAGTTGGTTTATTTGCACCTTGGATTCCTTTTTTTTTTTGAGCCTTTTGTCACTTGAAGTACTTGCCTATTGCATTTTTTCTCCTTTTCTGATTCCTTAATCAGATGCAATGATTGAAAAATAGGGAAGTTCAATTATTAAGCTGTCTGCATACCCTAAGTCTGTGTTAGAAGTCAACACTGAGTCAGTTTTGAACATGTGTAGTAGATTTAATGCCGAGGGCGTGGGAGGGTGGGGTGTATTTTGTTTCAGGAAGAACAGATAACAGTTCTTGTTTTCTAGTTTTCCCATTACTTGTAACATGCAAAGATCTATAACACTTCAGTCAAAATTTAAAATTTTCTTTTTTAACCTATCTCTTAAGTTTTTGGGGTGGTGGGGTACCTGAATTATAAGCAATTTTCAGTTAACTTGTTACAAGGCTTTAATGGAAAAATTGTTTTGTTTAGTGCATATGCTTTGGAATTTAGAATTCACAGCACCCATTAATCTGGCATTTTTATAACATTTTCATTGTTCGTTAATTTCAGTTTATTTGAGAAGCTAAATAGTACAGCATGTTACATGATATTTCTTGTAGAAAACTAACATATTGACCTGTTTCAGTATTTGCTAATCCTGCAGTTGTAAACCGTTCTGCAGTTTTAAACTGAAATTACTCGAAGACCTGCGCTTTATGGTTCTTCACATGCCAACTCTCCAGTATCATTATAAAGTAACATTGTCAAACACACTAGTAAGAGCAAGACTGAAGTGCTCTTGGAGAATTGTTTAAGAGCTTTTTGTCAGCATATGCTACTTGAGAAATGTCTCTTCCTCCATTGAGTAGTTCCAACATACACTATTACAGTTTGGGGTTGTTTTCCTGGGGTGGGGGAGTGGTGGTGGTGTTTTTTTGGTTTGTCTTTTTTTTAAATAGTTACATCCAAGATGAATATTCCTGAGAGAAAGAGAGACCAATTCTGTAACGGTTTGTTTTTTGTAATGTTAGTTGTGGCATTAATAATGTGGTCCTGGAGTTGTAGTACAGACTGCCACAGATCTTTAAAACTATTGTGGGACTGAGTGGGTGTACGATTGCATATTTGTAAATGCCGATAAGCTTTATTCATCTGTTTATATAGTTTGCCAGGAAATCTAATAAAACAAAACTAATATATGTAACAGTTTAAACCATACTATTTAAATGTGACAATGAATGTTTATTGGGTTGTTTTTTTTTTAATTTCTAGGCACTTGTTCTTCCTGCAGTTGAAGACTGATATTGTGGAAGGAAGGTAATAAGAAGAATCTTCAATTTCTCTACAATTCTGTTTTAAAATAAAATTAAAAAAAAACCCACAAAACTTTCCTGAGGATATTGTTGCTATAAAAATGTACTTTGTGAAATATTGCTTTAAGAGAAAATCAAATTGCTAGGAAACCTGGCAAATTTTCACATAGCTCACTTATTAAGAACAGTTCAGAAGTCTGTTGCGAATGAGCTGTAGGCAATGCCGTGTGTCTGCAAGTACAATTTCAACCTGAGTGAGCTTTATGCAAGGCATGGTGTGCCAGGCATGGTGTTCCAAACGTGGGGGACCCTCTGTCTAGTGTGGTAGTCAGGAGTAGCAAAGGGCAGTTCATGCTATCGTTTCTCACGATTTCAGGGTTATATTCCCTATATGGTGGTCATATACCTCATGGGTCCTTTGCCTGCTATTCCTGTGTGTTTGTGCATTTTAAAAAAAGAGGAAGAAGGTAGTCCGAGTATTTGTTTTCAAATGTAAATTGCCTTTAGGTGTTGGGTTTTTTTTTCTGTGGAGTCAGTCTTGGTGATGAAATCAGAGCTGTCTTGGTGTTTGGCATTTGGCTAATTTTAGGGTTTCTGTTTAGTTTTAAATACACCAGATGGCAGCTATTAAAATAATGTACAGAGCCCCATAAAAATCCCTTCTCATTTTGCTTTCCCAAATAAACATCCAGCAAGAATACGAGCATGTCCTTTCAGGACTAGTTCCTTCCATTCACTTAAAAAGCTGTTACACAGCAACTAGCTTTTAATGTCCAGTCCTACTGTGCTTTGTCAATCAAACTTTGTAAGAAAAAATCAGATACTCTTTGAAGATAAATGAGTCTTCACATACTGAATTAATTGCAGAGACATTGTTAACAACACATTTATACAGTCTATGTCTAAATAAAAATATTTTCCCCCCTTTCCAGGTTGTCATGCCCCATTAATTCTGCTGTTGTCCTGGCATCATATGCAGTACAATGTAAGTAATAACCAATCATTATTTTGTTAATAAATATATTTGACTGACTACTTTCTCTGCTGTTTAGCACTTGAAAAATAAGGAAAGATTTCTTTATCTATTTGTGCAGAATATTCACAATGCTGCAGGCGGCGCTTTGTAAATACGCTGCAGGTTATTAAAGCAGCCTTCAGACAGCCTAAATAGAAAAAGCATACTGGTTAGGTCTGTCAAAAAAAAAGTTGATACAAGAATAACATTGTTCTTATTTATCTGTGCTTGTCAAAAAAGCTGACAAAAAAGACAGGTTTTCATTGTCATTGGAAACAAAAAAATGAAACATATTGTGTTACAATAGCTTGTGCTTGTACTGCTGACAAAAAAGACAGGTTTTCATTGTCATTGTCATTGGAAACAAAAAAATGAAACCTATTATGTTACAATAGCTACAGGAAAGCATTCTAGGGAAATAAGAGATCATCTAGAGAACAGTTAAGGGGAAAGTAAACTCATGATTGAGAAACTCCAATGTTCTTATGTAACATTTTATTCAGGGAACTTGATTTGTTAGATACGTAAAACTGTCTGGCACTTTGGAATAAGTTTAAGGTGACTTTACGTACAACAACTTATATCCTTCTCGTCTGCCTGCAACTGGCAAAAAGAAATTCTAAGGTTCATATTAGAAAAACATCTCTGTAGGAAAACCAAAGTGGAGCCTGATCCTATGCCTTACAGGCATACTAAACATATAGTAAAAAACAGCTGGAGGAAGACCTTTCTTATTAAACAGAAAAATGGGGATTTAGTGGTTGAGAGTTTAGTGGGGTTTGTATATTTGTAAAAATGATTGTCAGGGGAAAGCATACTAGAATAGTTTTGTAATTATTTGGCTGATGTATATTTATCCCATTTCTTTATGGAAAGGTTAGCAAGGTCTGCAGAAATGATTGAAGTAATTTTTGCTTGAAGTAAGGACCAAGGTACATAATTAAAATACGTTTTTCAAAGGAGAAAATTATGAACTGCTGGTATCTGTGAACATCCCAAGTGTCTATGAAACATTCACTTTTATGTTTAAGTATATCATATGTTTCGCCCTCTTATTAAATGGAACTTTAACCACATTCAAGCTTAGTTAGGAAGGGTTGAAACCAGAACAAGTTTCCCATAGTAGGTGCGAGTCCCAGTTTTGTTGCCAAAGGAAATGCATCTTTGCTCCTGTATCTCTGGGGCACAGTAGGGCACTTGAAGGCTGAGACACTCTGAACCTTCAGGTTCATTGCTAAATGCAGTGTTGATGACCCAATTGTGCTAAAGCACAAAAATGTCAAGGTTCACTGAAGAATGCAAATATTTTATCACAAAGTCAGGCTTAACATGATTTTAAAAATTAATTATGCCACAAGTAGCGTACCCCAAATCTCAGATTAATTCCTGTTTCCCCTTCAATTTTATGACCTTTCCCTTTTTAGTGCTTTGGATACCTACTACTGCAGTTATTTGTACCAGAGGAGAAGAATAGAACGTCAACAAAGATTGTGGAAGGGTGCTAGTGTATTTTCATCATTCTCTTTCCTGGTGGATTATGGAATTTCCCATGCAGCTCTTTGCCTGTTTTTTCTAATTCATGATAGTGCTATTATTACCGGGGGCGGGGTGTGTGTTTGGGTTTTTATTTGAAGAAAACACCTTTCTTTTTTGCTAGCTGATGGCCTTTCTGTTGCTGTTTGTATGATACCTATATTTATTCTCTGCATTGGCAAAGAATGAAACATTTAGTAGAAAGACTAATTCCCTTAAAGGAAGATAAAAAGTTTTTGTTTTGCTACCAGGTTGTTGCCATTCACCTAAAGATGATGGTATAGGAAAGCCTTCTGAACTCTGAGTGTGTAGGTCTCCTTATCTAGTCATGTTTGCTAGGATTCTTGTCAACTTAAATTGTTTTAAACAGTTTTCTTTTGGTTTTTAAATTTCCAATTATTAAGGAGAGTTGAAGTTCTTGGATGGGAGGTATCTGCTTATTAAAAAGACATTGTCTGAAGTTGCCAAGGATCGGTTCTACCTGGGCTGTTTCTTATTACTGCCGCTTCTTGGTGGTTTTCAGACTGCTCTCTCCTTCTGTAACTACCCTCATATGCAGAAGGGGAAATCATCATTGTCTGACAACCTTATGGTTATTTATTTATTTAAAAGGTGGAGCTGTTGTCACTGGCGGGAGGACTGAGGCAGATGTCTTTCATTGTACATGGAGTCTGATGTTTGCTATTTCTGCTCTTGCTTTTTAACGATGCTTTTCGCTTATGGCACTTGTATGGTTGACCTTTACAGGCTTTGGATTTTGCAAAGGGACAGTTGGTGGTGCTGCCTGTTGTGCTGCTGGCGCGCTGCTTCTCTTTGCACAGGTGTTTGGGTTCAGCACTGCTGTGCTGAAATAAGGTCTGACATGTTCCTCTGCCTTGTCACGGCACACCCTGTGTTGTCTGGTGGTGCTAAGTTACAGGGGAATACAAGTGGGTGTGAATACTGTGTCCAAATAGCGTGTGACTAAACTTGATTACGAATACATTTCAGACACTTGAAGAGTAAGTTGTTTATTATCAGTAAATGTGCTTTGTGACAGAAATGATCAGTGGATTTTGAAATCCTTTTTTAAGGAGAACTTATTAAGGAGCAATCCAAATAATTTCAAAATTGTTAAGTCTGAAGGATATTCTCCTACTGAAAAAACAATCTAACGATAAATCATACATCTTATTTTTTACTAGTGTAAAACAGGAACGTTGTACAGCTTATAAAATTATGAGACCTATGCAGTGTGTGTGTTGTTTTTTTTGTTTAAAATATCACAAAGCTGATTTAGCACCGTTTGTTTTTTACCACTTTGTCTAGTAGGTTCCCATTTCCAGAACAGTATTTAAATGACTAACTATTGGTATGTAAGAAGTCCCATGGGTTTGGTGGGAATATGCTTTTATGTGCGTAAATCCTTTGCTGGGTTGGGACTTGAATCTAAAGCAGAGCAACAAAGCCAACAAAAGATGTTACGAATACTTCTAAGCTTTCTTTTTCCTGAGCATCGGTTGCTCAGTGATTCATTATGACTGGGGTGTTTCCTCTCATCTCCTGTGATATTGTTCCCCCATCAGCTCTGCTTTGAGAACCAGGAGGTTTCTCTAGCATTCTGCTATCTGTCTTTGGGAGTTTGTTCAGGAAGGGGTTGACTGATTGCTCGGGATTCAAATGGACTTTAACGTGTTCTAAGAAAAGGAAGGCTGGCGAGGGTGAGGGTTCAAGGAAGTTTGAGCTTAGTGTGCAAGTCCCTCAGGAACTAGACGTAAGAGTTTGTTAGAATTTTGGGAATGCCAGAAGGCTGAGGTCTCAGAGGAGGAGGTGGGCTGTGAGATTTACAGGAACATCAACAGCAACTCCGCAGTGAGAGTTGCACCACATAATTCCCCATCAACTTTCTTCTTGCCTGACTCTTAACTTGCTTTCATTTTGCCCCTCTCTCTTATTATAGCAATTACATTGAAACCTCAGACTTCCTAATTTACGGAGACCTGCCTCTCTTTTCATAGCTAGCATTTGGGGATTTTTCTCCCCAGATGTGTGAGCTCCCCGCCTATGCTTTTTCTGAAGAGAAATAGTGTTCAGAAGAGCATCATGTAAGTGGAGAGATTTGCTCTGAGGTCAGTCATGTTCCTGCTACTTTCCAGGGCACCTGTAGCCCTTGTGCCCCAGAATCCAAATCAGACTGGATGAAGAAAGAGAACTTTGACCTGAATTTCCAGTGTTTGAAATTATTTACCAGTTGTGTTGAGTAGTCTGAGGATTGTGTGCATGTCCCATCTGTTCTTTTGAAGTCTGCAGCAATGCTGTTCACTCACAGGTACCTTTCATCGTGTCTCATGGTACCTGTCATCAGCAGTACTGGAGTGTTATCTGTGTGGTGGTAATGAAACTCCCAATAAAGGATCTGTGTGGAGAGATCAATTGAAATACACACCCATTCTCTTCCACATGGTTCACTGTGGTCTAGATTGCTGCTCTTGAGCTTGCTAGCATCTCTTTGTACAACAGCTCTTCTAAAACTGTCCCGATAGTTTATATACAGTAGCTCTCCAGCTGTTTTGGATTGTTTTCCCTTAATTATATTTTACAGTTGTGCTAGGCAATACAGAGGCCTATGAGGTCAGGATATCATTACTTTAAGTATTGTTTGCCTGGTGTTCTTCCACTATGCCACAAATATTTTTTTTAATATGTAACACGTCAAAACAAAGTGCAATGCTGTAATCTCTGGAGTGGAGAACACCAGATTGGGATATTGGCCGATACAGTAGCTGAAGGAGCTGACTTTCTACAGTGCCTTATAGACTTGGTACCGTTCTTCTGTATTTTTAACGTGGATGAACCTTTTAAATTTTTTTGTGTAACATCACTAAAAAGGAGAGAAGAACAGTTATGCAAGGTCAAGGTCTGCGCAGTACAGTATTATACTCATGATAACGAGTAGTGGTGAATGCTGAGAGACAACATATATGACAGAAGATTAGAGTAGTTTTGAGATGCATTAGTTCTGCAAAACCTCTTAATGTTTTGGGAGTACTGATAACTCTTCCCTTAAGTCTTTTATCCCCATACTTTTTCAAAATGAATACTCTTTGTACTTAGGATTGTGCTTTGCTTTTCTCAATAGTTTTTCTGATTGTGACTGTATGTTTTTTGAAGTACATGCTGTATTTGAGATGCAGAAATAGCAACTCAGTATAATTTACATTTTCTACTTTGTTTCTTCCTTTTCATTGTGATGTTGTTGTTGAACTGTGGCTGCGTTTTGAGCTGCTGATTTTTAATTTTTTTTAAATAAAAGATGTTACAGTGACTGATTCATTTTTCATTCTGGAATGGTAATAGATAACTTGGAGACCACCATTGTGTATGTACAGTTTGCAATTTTTTTTCTACAGATGTTCCTTTGTTTTTATTAATGCCCAATTTCTCATTCTGTCTTATCA